ACCAATGGGCCACCTGAGTCACCGTTGCAAGTGGATACTCCGCCAGTGGTGGCGATACAAATGTTGCCGCTGGTCACATACGTTGATCCAAATGTTGAAGCACAGACAGTGTTGGTAATTACTTGTACGGTGGCGTATTGCAAGCTGTTGGTCACACTGGTAGCAGAATCGCTGATACGTCCCCAACCAGAAATGACGGCAGAATCACCGGCATAAGTGGAGTAAGAGCTAGAAACAGCAGGCAATGGAACAGCTTGGATTCTGCTAGTGTAGGAAACGGATGGGATTTTAATGAGAGAAATATCGTTCCTCAAAGTCCTGGAACTCCAGCCAGAGTGGATGATTATATCACTGCTCGATACGGTGTATGTAAGCTCGGCCGATGTGCGTTGTGTAGCACCCAAGTAGACGGTAACTTGTAAAATACTGTATGAAAAAATAATAATCATAAAGATAATGCAATTAAGCTATATTAAAGGTTTTTAAGTATTTTAGTACTTACCCGTCGGTACAATGAGCAGCTGTTAGGACATATTTGCTACCAATCAAAGAACCACCGCACCAGGCTGACGAAGTAGAGCTCACTTGCAATGAGAGACCAACTTGATATGGGAATTGGCCAGTTGAAGCGGTTTGGCCATTAGTAATACGTCCCTCGACGCTGTCATCCAAAATGGGAACAACCAATCCCCTTTGGAAAATTGTTGGCGAAGCGTAGGCCGAAGCCAAGAGGAGAGCGAATACTACGAAGAACTTCATGGTGCTGTGCTTAATGGAGCAACTGATGTTTGTTGCATTGCAGTTCAGCGCTTTTATAGGGAAATTGATGGAACGCAATGAATTTTTGGTAGCTTAAGAGCTCTAAATTATTTTTGATTTTCATTAAGATAACAAGCACTCAGTCGTAGTCAAATCGATAGTCTGCTGGTAAGCTTATTTTTAAATTCCTATAAAATATGGCCAACGATTCAATTATCTTATCGAACGCCTGGAATTCAGCTACATATTTCTAATAACACATTTTAATTCATTTAATGCATGCAAAATGTGAAAACTTCATAATGATGTGCACATTCGTACATATGTATGGATGTATGTGCTCAATTTCATTGGCAGACGTTATATTATTTGCAACGGAATATGATGTGATAGGTTTTTTGAAAGTCACAATCCGCCACGTCTGAGTTTTTTTTTTAGTTACTCAAAGAATCTTCCAGAGTTAAAGCGTTGATTTTTGGACTCCATCCATACTTCTCGACCTATTTTTATTGGAAAATTACTAATACCGGTGGGCCAAACAGTTATTACTAAAGCGAACCGAACTAAAGACATACATATGTTCGCTTGGCGCGCAATACCTCGTATCCGCGAAATGCAATACCACCTATTTATAAGATAGTCCGCCACTTTCACATAGGGGCGAAGAAACTTATTTTCTTAAAAACTTTTGAATGGTTTCCCAACTAAATATGAGTTTCTACTATCATTGTCCACTATTAAATTTGCGAAAATTTGATATATTGTGCCTCCTATATCAACTTTAGTTGTTTAGTCGATATCGCTGAGCATATAGTCGTTTAAGAATCTGGCTATACGGTGGGCTAGGCTAGTGTTGACGCAGGTGGTAATGAGGTGTCCCATTGATTCCTCTTCTTCTTCTTCACAGAACCTGCAGATGTCTGTACTACGGAGGCCAAGCATATGCCATCATAGCCCTCATGGCCAGGCACTCAGATTAAGGATACCCTATTTTGGCCGGCTAGGTTATTGAGTGCTCTATGGCGCGAGTAGCTATCTAGAGCTTTGAGGGCAGATTTGCTGTCCGAAAATATGATGATTTTTATTATGTTTATTAATGCGGTCCCACAAAACCCGCACCTACATACATCTTAAGATGTTTTTGAACCATCGGTATACAATTTTTGTGAATGATCGTGCAGTCACGTGGCGTTCCTGCTGCAATCTTCTCGAGTGGGAAAAATGATCTTGTACCTCCTCGTAAAGCCGAGGATGGGATCAATTTCTCTTTCTGCTTTCTCTTGTATTGCCACATGAAGGGGTGTAAGATTGAGTAGAGCATCCATACCTGTAGTGGGTGTTTTTTTCGTTGGATCTTGTACAGTTTTTTAATGGCCATTATTTGAGTAGTCTTTTTCCACCATACGAGTGCTCCATAAATTATTTTATGGGTTTGACCATCTGAGCATAAACCCAGAAGGTCACTTTAGGATTCAGCCCCCATGTTTTCACACGAGTTGTTTCGTCGTAAACAACGATTTCATTGCTTCGTTGATAATAGAGTTGAGATGTGACTCCCAGATGAGTTTCCTATTCAGGATTATACCTAGATGTTTGACCTATTTCTTTAGGTGAATCGCAGTCCCATTTATGTTTAGATCTGGAAAGCATATCTTTGTTTTCCTAGTGAAAGGGATGATTGTAGTTTCATTGGATTTTATGGGCAATCTATTTTTCATACATCAGTTATATGTTGTGTTTAAAGCGTCCTGCATTAAGTCCCTAATGGTTCTTTCATGATTGCCGCTTCTGATGATTGATATATAGTCAGTTGAGGACTTGAAGTAGTTTATTCACCAGTATAGACCACAACAGTGGAGATAAAACTCCCCCTATGGACACCCTTTTACTACTGCCGAGTTCTTCCGGTCCTAGGTTCGCCTTGATTGTCCTCTTTTTAAGCATATTGCTGACCCAATTGACTATTTTGCGATTTGCACCTCTATTGGATAGTGCCGCTTCCATGGATTTGAAGCTAGCTTTGTCAAAGGCACCATCTATGTCCATGAATAGATCTAGATAGTATATTCTCCCTTAGGTGGTGATTCAGTGTATTTTGCATGAAAGATGAAAGGCTAATTGACCTGTAAGATTTTGGAGAGTCTTGGGATTTATTCCCTCCCTTTGGGAAAAAAGATTACTTTGAAAATAATTTTTACTTAGAAAATTTAGCTAATTTCACCATTCAGGACACCAGCATGCTGGTACAATCATAAAATTTTCAAATAGTTTTTGAAATCGCACCAGCAGCTGGTACAATCACACCACAAGAACATACACAGTCAATCGACTTGATGGGCCATTTAACAAATTAAGCATATTAAGGGCCGTAAACTTATCTATTTTAAACTATAATTAAATCGTGAATAGATAAGTTAACAGCCCTAACACTTTTACAATATGTATACAATACATATCGTCGATGTTTTTTGCAAAACCGCCCATCGACCAGTTTCAAAACCGCCTAAATCGCCGTTGTGGCAAAAATTAGATTTGGTAACCCTGAACTCCATGCATCGAGGCTTATGCATAAAAATCGTTATTAAAATAACAGATTTGTTAAATAATAGCTAAAGAAAGTACCACCTATCAAGGCAATGCCTTCAAAGAATAAACCGTTTTTTCGCTCTCGTGTAAAATTTGAGTGCCGTAAGATAGACGGTTTTGCTATTGGGCGATGGGCGGTTTTGCAAAAACATCGACGATATATGTATTTATATCAGTCTTTCTTGGTTTAAAAATTCATCTCTTACATAAATGAAACAAAAAAGAGATCAAAATAAGCATATACAACTTTTTCATACCAAGTATGAATAAGTTCTTCAAAGGGCTAAAAAAGGGCTAGGGGCAATTTTAAATTTATGTGGCCAAAAAAAGTATGTGGCAGCTAAATCTAGCCACCAAAGAGCTGAAACGGCAACACTGATTATCACAACTATTTATTTTAAGTCAAATATGCAGATCTGATAGCTTTACTATTTATAAAACTTGGTTGGTATATGTTGTAGTCTCATAAGACAAGGCACCAGAACAAAAAGCTCAACTTTTGAGCTTTCAGTCTAAAAAATATACATTATACGTAAGTATTCTATTAAAATTGTTTATGTACATTAAATTTCATTTACCAGAATCAGAAACCGTTGGAAAAGTTTATTACCATTCATTAGACTCTAATGATTAGAGTAAAACAAGCTTTGAATAGATAAGCATTACTTACGTATAGAGAAAAAACTAGTTCCTCTAAGAATTACCCTCATATTTATGTACCCGTATTTTCTGTACTTATATAT